TTTTTTCCTTCCCCTTGCCCCTATATAGCAAGGGATAAAAATGTTCTGGGAGGGGATAAAAACTGTGTTCGAGTATTTGCTTTCCGACATTATCAAGGAAGAAGCGACTATCATCATTAAGACAGATGCAGGTCGGTAACCATTCCTGATGTAACGTCTTTCCAATAACACTGCCGCTTGGCCCATCTGTAGGCGACGATATCCATACTACCGATGCCACCATCGATAATCATGATTAGACGAAGAGAATAATTTTCTCTGTCCGATTCAGCCAATTAAGTGGTCGCTAGCGTAACGCGTAGGCGAACGCTGGTGCCTTCTCTATAGCCGCTTTCCCGAACAAGGACCTCGGCTAAAGCGAGCTACAATCAGGCCACTCAAACTGCGTTCTGTCGTACACTGCAGATCAGGTTAGCCCCTTTACTCGGACTGAGTCGATTTGACCACTCGATAACTCAGAGAACTATGTCCCTCGGATCAGCTAGAGTGATCCGACGCTGTTGGCAATAATGACGGAATGTTACTTGCGGCCGCCGTTGGAATCACGCGGGGAAAATATTACGAATGGTCGTTACGGGGCGGAGCGGAGGACCCATGAGACAAAAGGGGAGACCTGCGCTCTAATCTGAACGTCATTGCTCCGTGTATACTCGCTGATCGCGTACGCACAAACCCGTATTTATCTGGTACGGATAGTTGTTGCTGTTGTCGATGATCTGTAGCGTGTGTTTTCTTTTTCGAGAGGCTCGACGCTGTTTTCGTGGTGATACTGCCGCTAGCGGTAGCCGTAGCAATCGTTCTAGTGAATATCTACGAATCTGGCGATGCTACATGGTTCGCTGGACTAGTCGACTTACTTACAAAGGGATTTCGATGCTGGCTGGAGGGGCCCTTATAAATCTGTGTACGTCAGATCAACTGTTTGTGCTGTTACCGCTGCTGCTATTACAATTATCACCGCGAATGAGTGAAACAGTTTCGTACGCGATCAACAATCGTACTCGAGATGATAACAATTCTCGGATTCATTACCACATGTTATTGCCGAACGGTCGTAGGACGACGACGAGGACGACATCGACGACTACAGTTGCCAGCCAAAGCAGCGGACTAGGAGAGCCGTTTTGTCCACTTAATACTACTTGTACGATTGAAGTGACGGACTATCTGGGGTGCTGCACGGATACTTAGGGAACAGGAGTCAATAGAGTATACGTTAGAGTTATTATTAGTTTATGTAGTTTGCTAAATTCATCTATTCAATCACCGGTTGACTAGTCAGCCCGCTTGCTCCACGGCTTAAGCGAATCGTGGAAACGATAGAAGATTATATAGTTCATAGCGTATACATATACACGCATACTGTATGTATAAATATATGAATGCGATAAGATAAACTGACGAACATAGAGACGTACACGAAAAGGCAGGAGACGACGCAACGGGCTCAGGTCTCACGTAGAAAAGGGGAACAATGTTCTAGTCATTGACAAGCGTTCAAAGTGAGAGCTTAGTCAAACTGACTAGCGAACAAGCAGATTCACTGATCTTACGACAGATAGCTGTCGGGCAATATAATACAATGATTATTAAGTAATTAATAATACGGTACAATTTATATATCATATAGCCGTGAAACTATTAAGCAGCTCTCTTATTTGTTCTACCAAGTGGTTTTGTAACGGCTCGGTTTTACTTCTGTTTTTTTTTTTACCAATACCTTTACTACGCTGCTGATTCAACATCATTCCGCACCAAAGGCTACCATCTATATTCACACCTGACACTGGGCGTATGTGTTTACCATGTGATTTTCCAGTCTGCATTTTTCGATTTTGCTAATTCTCGATGACAATGTCTTCTTTACTTCGGCATAGAGCTGTTGTTCCGTGAGCTTCCCTCTTAGCCCAGCCTATACGCACGTGGGTCAGGACGAATTAACCCAGAGAAGTTTTGTCATCAGCCGTCGTGTTTACCAGGCCTATCGGTGTGTTAACGTAGTCTCACATTATCACATGATCGCAGCGACAGACGATAACTGCCCACCTGCCTAAACAATCAGCCCACGCTTTTCAAATGCCACTTGTAACATTGAATTAGAAATAGTACGTAGTATCAAAAGTGCTAAACCCGTAGTGAATTGTCGGACTCGACTAGCGACCCGACCCGACCCGATTTGTCATCATGGCCAAAATGAAACTTTCAGTACACCTTGCACTTTCGGCCATTGTCGTCTAAACGATAACATACTTTAACATTTCGTAATATGACAGTTTTATTGTCGCCTTGCAAAATGGTAGCCGACAGCGCGAGGTGGTCACAAATAGGTTGTGTTGTATGATTCTTTCCTAATTTATTTATATATATATATATAACTAAATAGTATCGCCAGCTCATGTTTGTAACAGATAATTGAATTGAGATGATTCGTCTATGAAACCCTTTCATAGGGCTCACACAGTTATATAAACCTCACCATAATATATATATAAACTTTCCCAAATTGCCTAGAAGATTTAAATAATTACCATTTCAGTGCTTATTTATTTACGATATTGAAATGTAATATAATCTGCATAAGTTTTACTTTTACCGCAGATTAAACTCCTCTAATAACAATAGGGCTAGTAATCTATAAATTTCACAAGAAGATATCGTCGTCTAGTCGTATTCTTATGTGATTGCGTGTATTATAAGTAAATATAAACATGTATGAAATCTTCCAAAATCTTCTTTATTTTTAAGGTGTCCTTACAAGAAGAAGACGGTTGGCGGACGTCAAGGCGCTTGGGGAACTTCATGGCTCTAAACAAATATACACAACAGTTTTTGTGTGTGGATGCTTTCAGATACATTTCAGAAGATTGCTTCCCTTAGTCCGGATCACCTTTATTGATAGCATGTACTGTCAAATAGAATGCAACTTTTTTGTTTTTATTTGGAACGTTTTCAAATCTGATGTACTCTTAATTTGCTGACAAGTTTCTCAGATGTTTCGGTACAAGTCGTCAATGTTCATAATCTCCTGGATTTTCTTCGTTCATTATTATCAATTATCGTCCACTAATCATTCACAATTAAGTACACACTGAAAAAACGGAACAATCCAAAGGTTTTGGATCTTTGCATTTTTTTGGGTGGGACTCTGTATATATATATATATATAGATGCGATCCCGCTACCCCCGTGTCACAGTCGATTCGGCCCCCTCCACGTTCAAAAACAGAACAGTACGAAGCGTTCGCCGAGGTATCTGACACCTCATTTTTTATAGCTCTTGCCGTGACAACGTTTAGTATGAATAACGCTGGCAGCATTTCTCGTGTTGTGAGATACCGAGAAAGCACGCGCACGCCGTGAGCAAAAGAGGCACGCAATAGGAAACGAGGTCAGTGCGAAATAGGCCCAGGCTAATTAATTGAGTGAATATTTTTTTTATTAATATGCCAGAATTCCAATTCTCCATGACAATGGAGACCAATGGGGAATGTTTAGAGGAAACTCTTCACATGCACCGATAGAGATGCTTTCCATGAACGCTCTCGTTTAGAGTAGCTGCCATCCGCTTCGTTATCGCAGCTTCGGTTCAGAAATCTGGTGTTTAGTGTTTTACGTCTGGTATCGCCGTTAGGCATTCCGTCAGACGGCCGGATTCTAGCACGAAACGAACCGTGTATCTTTTCCCGGGTTCGAACCTAACGCATAACGTGTCCCTAATATTAGCAGGCAAACACGTTACCCACTAAGCTAACTCGAGGACAAGCCTGGGGAGCCTGTCTTTCAAAAACAGACAGCGTCGACGTTTCAATGGACACAGGCCGTGGCAGTATTCTTTTGTGACGTTAATATGCAAATAAGTGTGTAGCCCATATCACAAATACAAATAATGTTCGGCACACAACGGCTCGGACGGGCGTCCTCGTTACGACCCTACCAACAGGCCAACATAATTTTATTTGACAGGCCTAATGTTCATGGCCGTATGTATGTATGTATGTGTGTGTGTGTGTGTGTGTGTGTGTGTGTGTGTGTGTGTGTGTCGATCAACTCGCGTCCTACCGTCGACGGAGGGCCAATACGCACCTATGAACTTGCCACACGTCGAGGTGGATATGGCCTATTGTTATTGTGGCTCTTGATGATCCTCACTTAGTAGGCCACTGTCGATTCATGTGTCAAATTAGCAGAAGCCAGATTTTCGCAGTGAATACACATTAAACGCATTCTGGGCGCATGGTCAGGCCAATCCTTAAGGCATTGTACGTATAAATAACTCGAATGATAATAAGGACGCCCAACTCTCTCACGTAATAAACAAACAAATACATTTTTTTTTCTGATAAATGTGTTGAAACCCGCACTTTGTATAAATCTGTCGTCAAATGTATTTAATGAATGCACTTCGCACAAATAGATAGAGTAACGGAGAATTATTGATAGCTTGTAAGATAGTAACGACTGTTCCATGAGCAGCGGTAGCAACGCTTAGTTACAACAAAACTTCAGGCAGTAGAGATAAATTTAAAGGAATCAAAGCAGTTAGGATAGGGCGGCGAGCGGAAAGAATAAAGGGCAACACAAACAAGTGATCCCAAGTAATACAATATAAAGTAATTTACTCAGTAATGCAAGTTGAGCAGATACATATACAGATGCGAGTAGTACGTGTACATAATAGTACGGGCATAGAGCCTGAGACGAAACATCGTAGCAGATCATCATCGATCAGAAAACACTCCGTCCGGATACACTGCGACTGAAAGAACGTAATAATTACGCTAACATCTCTAAATAAGGCTGTTTGCACGTAGTCCCTACATGGTTGTATTAATAGACCCGTCAATTAGTTTACATGTCATTTTGCGATAATAGTGAGCTTTTTAGTTAAACAACGAACAGGCCATATTTGGTGACGCAGTGTCGCCCTTTTTGCTGTCACGGCTGATCAAGGTGCTGGCACTTAAAAGCCAGCATTCTGTGCGCGTATGCGTTTTCCCTACCTTTCTGAACGCTGTTCCTCAGAGAGACTTTTTGTGGTCGAGGCAAACGCATTTTGCAAAGGGTGCTGCTCGTTGTTGATACACAGGGCAAACAAGTTCTGCTATCCTGAACTGATGCCCGGGGTGCCGCTAGACTGCAACTCGTTAAAATGCATCCGGCACCACGTTCCTCAAGCATGAGTACCATATCGCTCGTGGTTCACTCTGTCGCACTTCGAAATGCACTTCACAGCAACGAGATAGCAGCAACATTCACACAACTACAGGTAAGGGCAATTAAGCATAGAAGAAGAGGCATTGGTAACCGATCAACGCGACTTTGCATCAACCCCGTGTCCTTAGGCGATCGAATAGGTTAGTTCTTAGGTTCTCTGAGCAGATATGTTGTGACACCTACAAGTTCACTTTCGGTAAGCAACATCGTAAGACAAAGCCGACCTCGATCTAGACCACGACCTAGGTAGGCCAAGTAAGAGAAAATGCTCAAAGTAGTGTAGTTTTGGACTGGAACTATCTTGAGTTTCTTTTCTAAACAGACAACAGCGGCACAAAGTTGACACGGGAGATGCGTTCTCTTAGTTACTGATTCGTCGAGGACCATTTGCTTCGTTTTCGAAATGTCGAATGCGTTCGGTGTCCTATATTTCTCTGTAACGTTTTTTCAGGGCAATATCGCTGCGTCCATTGGCAAACCGTGGCCAGTTCGCTCGCGACCAAAGAACACATCCGTATCGCTATGACGTTGCTGATTATTCAATAGATTAGATTTCACGCGCTTGCGTTGACGCTGGCCACGATGTCGTACGGGCTCCGTTGTTGTTTACTCTATGCAGCCGACAATGATACAATTAAGTTGGCTAGGAAAGAAGTAAATACCGTATTACTGCTTCGTGTCTCAATAGCAGGTTCCACATGATCCTATACTTTGCAAGAAATATGGAGGCCAGGGCAGAGTTATAATGTGTGCGGTACATGGACATACCCAGGATCAGCAGCAGATCGAAAATGAGGTAAAAGCGTACAACTTTTACCCAGCCGGATCAACAACGAAAAGGTTGAGAGCATTGGCTAACGATGCCGATGATTACATCAAGTTGGCTGGAACGATTAAGACGATTGAAAACTTTGTATAATAGTGATCTCCATACCACACGAGACAATAACAACTTAATCCGACTACTATCTCTTACGGACGATCGCGCCAAGTGTCAAAGCAGCACGTAAACGCACGACGGCAGGCACAACGGGATGCGCACAGAACCGATTTCGAACACTATGATTCTTCCTATACGTTCCTAAGCGATCAGCAAGCGAGCGATGTATTGAAATTTAGAAGCCTCTGTCTTTTGGTACTTATCAATCAATAATGAACACACACTGCGTCGCAGTGAAGAGCGTAGGCCGTAAGCGATTCCTGTTCCGGTAAGTCGATTGCATCGCTGTTTGTCGTTATTCTGGCTGCTGTTACTCGTTCGTTGGTCTCGTCAACTGGTATTCGCGAGCAGATCTATTTAGCACTATACGATTATCTGTAGTTTTTTTTTTTTTTTTTTTTTACAACGGATATATCCGTTAGGCGACGCAGCTTCTATGACCTGGGCAGGTGCGACAGCAACAAGTCGTTGCCGTAACGTAAGCAGAACAGTGATGATCTCTAGCTGATTTCGCACCGCGCTATAGCAGAACGAGCTCGGGGTCACTCATAACAAAATCGCCAGTTACTCTTACGCTTGAACTGGCACCAACTTCAGGGCGAAGAGAAATTATATAAGTGAAGGGGATTGAGAGAACGAGTTATCTGTGGATTTATCCGTATGTTTGTCTGTCTACCCGTCCGGTCGTGTGTGACTCACTTGTCGACACTTGTGGAGATTTACGTGACCATCACACGTACACACACCTACGGCCACAGCTAAGCGTTAACGGTATCTATTTCGATATCGCTTTTCTGCATCGTCGTAGTAACAGTCAGTCTTATTTACCTCTAAAATAGCACGTAACGCTTTCAGCGCCAACTGCGCCACCAATCGAGGAGCTAGCTACGAGAGCGTTTTTCGCTTTTTCCGTCAGTCTGCTATTGCTCCACCTGGCTTTGTACTACGCGGAGTTTCGCTTGACGACGGTTAGCGCCTATCCCTTGAGCACAAGCGATTACGGGCCACACCGTCAGCGATGGTGACGCTAGTTGCGTTGCAATAATCAACTCTCGCCTGGTTTTTGTCCGCCGCGGTTTTACACGGGTTTTGAGCGAGGGCTGAACGTGGATAGCTATTCGTGAACGGCCGTGAACGTCTGCAAGTGTCTGTGACTCGAGGAATCATCCCGCGGCGACTCCATAGTCTCCACCAGCTCGCCGTTATTCGTCTGGCGTGGCCGCAACGCTCGCGGCTCATCAATCTCGCCGTTGCCGCTATAGCGGGGCCCGGAGTGGGAAAGGAGGAAAACGGATGAATCGGCCCCGTATGCGCTGTACTGCAAGGCTGGATGGGCTAATCTGTATGTGTGTGTGTCACGCCGTTGTTATTGGCACGATGCCGTGGATACTATTACCGATGCGTCTCTCTAGCGGTTCCCTGTCGTCTGCGGTGGCTAGGATTTTGTACATTTGTATCTGCTATTGAAGCGCATTGATCGCTGGGTAAGGCTGTCACTGACGAGCTCTTTGTCGATTCCTATAGATGCTGCCGTTCGTACTGAACGTGTGGCTGTAAGATGCACTGCGGATGGTGACAGCATTGGCGACGGAGCGATCTGCTCTTTGACTGTAGCATCGCTCCCTCCGGCCTGTTCCAGCCTGCGGTGGCGCTTAAGCATTTCGGCAGCGGCCGTCCCATAACCTTTGCTGTTCTGCTGCCGCCGCGGACGTCGACGCTGTGACGCGTTGGGTCGCGTCATTTTTCTTTAGTTGACGCTCGACGAAGCCGTTACAGAGACACGGGCGATGTCGATGCAGTGCAAAACTTTGCTAAGGCTTGCCGAAAACGGTCTCCAATGCGTTTTTGAATAAAGACGTAAGCACTCTTGATAGATAGATAGATAGACAATTTAGTGTACTAACAGCGATATACGAAAAGGTTATTCAACCCAATTAAATATAAAGAAACACAAAGGTCGGTGAGGACTGTGCTACTGTGTTCCCATAGAAGAAAAACAGGTTGGCCAATAGATATCAGCACGGAGACGAGGAGACAACAATAACCTGTAATACGACAACCACTGCTAGCCTAGCACGATGCCGTATATTACTGCGTCCATGATTAGAACGGGCAATGAAGTCCGACGCGCAGAAAAACTTCGTTACCCTTTTTCGCTTAGAATCTGATTGCTGTTCATCGATTTGTTTGCCTGCTTTTTTTTACAAAGGCTCGCTTTTTCTTTGCGTCTGTCCGTTTGTTCGCTGATTTGTTCCCGGGCTGGATTAATCTTTGCGTAACTTCGTGAAATCAGAAACGGGTAATTTTTAACCCAAAGAGACTGCGGCAACCGACATAAAATGCCGTTGCGTATATCTCGATCAGTGGCTCGTACTCTCGTGGCAAGGCACTGCATCGAGGGCGGCAGTGAAGCTAAGTAACGGGCCACTTCGAACCCTTTTGACCGTTAAACTGCAACCGTCAATTGGTGGAACCAAAGGTACCTATAAGGCTTAATCTAAATCCTGTAGTAACGCGATAATTTCAGCTCGGAAGCGCCGAATTGTGTACATCCCGGTGCCAAAGTGACGCTGCTGCTTACGCCTACGAACAGATCCCAACTCTATTTATTGGTCGCCGGATGACGAAGTAATTTTCGACGTTTAACGGTACGGCATGTCTGTTTGCTCTTCTGTCAACAAGAGCCTTCTACCCGAGTACCCGTGAGTATTCCTGTTTCTCCTGGCGTCCTACCCGATTGCTCTGGGTCTATGACCACTGCATTGTCCACTGACCAAAGCTGCGGACTTATAATGCCATTCGACTGAGCTGAACTGTGGATGAACATAAGAAAAGAATACTTTCGCAGTCTGCGTTTATGTAGCGTTTGTTTTTTTGTATACCACGCTTTATATTTCGCGTTTCACGTCCGGTATTGCCGTTAAGCACAATCCCATCAGACAGACGGCTGGCTTCCAGCACGAAAAAAGTCTGTCTGTATATGCCCGGGTTCCAGCCTAGACCGCAACGTGTCCCCAAGGCAAATGCGTTAGCCAGTAAGTTATCACGGGGACCCTTCGTACTACCCTTCGACTACTGTAGTTGCTTATGCATAGCTTCTGCCGCTGCCATTGCTTAAGACTGATTGCTACTCGATACCCTATAGAAAATTAAGTCATATCACTATTGCCTAAATTGGTATCATTATTATTATTATTATAGATCTTGCATAGGCAGAATTACAGGTAATGATGACAAATCACCTAAGCTACCGATTGAATAATCGCAGCGTAGGAAACCCTTGCCGACACCAGCAGCGCCAGGCCAACGGACTGCAGAGCCAAAAGTCATTTTCGAATCTGATGTAGTCGCCCTAGCGCTTGGGGCGCTACTTCTGCCGCCACTGCTGTTGTCGTTCTAGAGTCTTTATCACTTCTGTTACTGCAATTTTTGGTCGTATTAGGTCTGATGGTCCGATTGAATCTCGGTTCGTTGAACCTATAAGCCGCTAGGCCAGTAAGAGTAGGTTCCAGCAACAACGCTTATCGTGCGCTCACTGCGAGATTACATTATTGTCGCCGTCGCAAAGCATGAAACGGTGTCACCGTTGTAAAAAGGTAAACGGTACGAAGAGCAGACCACGTCAGGCATTTGGGGACTAGAACGCTGATTAAAAAAAAGACTCGGATCTGCCTCGAACCACCTTCAATGATGTGTGCGGGATATGCTTCGATCGTGCTCCAAGAGCGTATTCCAGGTATTGGCGCGTCGAACAGTTGCCTCCTTCCTTAGACTTTGTTTGTCTCCGCGTTTCTCTGTCCTTAGTGTTTGGCTTAACTCTAGGAGCTCCGGATGCCCCATGATGTCCCGTGTGTGTTCCTTGAGGACTGGAGGATGAGCAGCGAATACTCGTGCTTGCGCCTACGGTAGTAACAGCGTAATGTAGTTGTAAATCGTATTGTGAGTTGTCGTCTATGTCGCAGACGCGACGCTCCGCTGGCGGACGGTGACGTCTTCGGTTAGCGTTTGATGTTCGGGCTTCGCGTTTCATAACTAAAGTACGTACTTCAAGCGTCCATTCCGTTGAAGTGTGACGTCAAGCGTTTCAAACAAACGCTATGGCAAAAGGCTCCGCGCAAGACACTAAGAAATGCGTCATCCTCAATGTGCTTCACTTTTCAAGCGCCCTATACGAAGATGAGACGCAAGCGAGGGTAGATGTAGGAGTTTTAAACAGTACCGAAGAGTGAACTACTACTACAGTTAGATCTATAACAACGACCGGAAAACACAAAATACGACACAGAAAAGACAACGCGCATCTAAGAACGCACTAGTAGCCATTAGATATATAAGTAACTTGTGGGAGACCCAATTCACAGATGGTGGACAAGTATCCATTATAGTACTATTATATGAACTCGTCGTCGCACCTGGTAAAACATGGTAATAAAAAACCTCTGACCTTCTGCGTCAGACGAAATTAAAATGTATGGTATTGTGCTATACCTTTGATCGGTTCGCTTGGTGCCCTTGTCGCTTGTAACTTCTGATGAACTTGAGCTCAGTCGCGAATGTGATAGAAACATCGAAATGGAGAACTTCATCTAAGTGTGTCTATTTATTTGGAATAAATGTGTATTTTAAATTATGCAACGTCGAGACAAAAAAGCAAAAAGTTCAATGTGTCGTAGACGAAACCAAGATATATACACCATGTTACATCGGCCAACATGAAAACAACGGTTCTCGAACAAAATCTATTTACTTTATAACTAATTACATTAGATACGTGTTTTTTTCAACATTAATAAGCTATTCGTGTTCAACATTAAATTTTTAGTAGATTTCATTTCTTCTTCTTTCAGATTTTTGTTCCCTTCGTTTCCACCCTTCGTCTGTGCTAGCTCTACATACTCAATATATATTTCAGTCTTTTTTTTACTTCGGGGACGTCGAAGCTGCAATGGTTTTTCCTATCGAAAAGAGCAGCCTCGCATCTATCAACACCTGACGCTCTACGTTTCTCATTGGCTATAGGTGCTTTTATTGCTATTATTGTCACTGATATATAATTCAGTCGCGTCTATCCAGTTAAAGACTTTACCTTCAAACTAATACGTTAACGTCATCAGATAATTACCCTGAAACCCGTTCAGTCTTCGTTAAATGTCGCTACGCTCAGAGCTAATTAAATCCTCTAACTTTTCGTTGCCTTTTATCACCTTTTTCTTCTCTAAAGGTATTCCTCTTGGCATCCGCTATTACAGTCATCGACAACGAAAAAATACAAACACCATGGTGCTTCATTCGTGTCTCTCCTCATCATATCGCAGTTAACACAAAAGGCCTGAAGGATGCTTATTTAAAAGACCGCAGTCTTCATAGCAAGTGTTTGCGGGAAATCGCCGGCAGCAGCAGTGATAGCCGCCTAGAAGCGCCTATGAAGACCGAGTAAGGTCGGACAGGCCACGAAGAGAACGCAAGCCTGGATGGGAGCACATGCGGGTGAGACCGGCCGCACACTCGCAAATGCATAGAGATCTCGCCGCAGATAGAGCCTCCGATCGGGCCATGTCGGGGACGAACCTGACAACGAAGCCGCTCGGGGTAAATCAGACGGAGACAAAATATTGAGAGAATGACTAGCTAGTGCATCACTATTGAATCTAGCCATTTCGCTCGCGTCCACGAAACTTCCACAATGCTGCAGTGCGACGACTAATCAACTCGTTGTTTGACTGTCAGAAATGGGAAATTCGCTCTGGCACCGATAACGCCCAGCCGGTGAAACGAGGAACGGGAAGAGGCTGGAGAATTGCTATAGCAGAATAGTCCGAAGCGGACATTTTGTTTCGAGTCGAAGGTGAGGCGGTGGTAGAAAAATCGAGCGTGGCTTCATTGACCCAGCGAGTGCAGTAAGCAACATGGAGCGCTCGAGTTGATACTAACGGCGGCTACAACGACTCAGGTTAAACGACAAGCGGCAAATATCCAAAGGGAAAAGAATTGGCCGGTATGGCTTTTTATAGAGTGTGTTGAGTATCGACGTTTACTATTAAGATAATGCTGTACCTGAC